TCCAAACCATCACTTATGGATTTAACACTACTTATGGGGTTTAATAAGTCCTAAGTCCATAATTGTATACTTATGTCCCATATGATTATCCATATGCTCGTTAATGTATTAATTTATACCGAAAACAATGATATAGTCCAATAAAAAGATCAAAATTTTACAAAATCAACTAATCCCAAAATCTTGTTTTTGGGTAGAAAGTAATGATACCTAAAAATGATCAAATTAAAGAGACTTATAAAATGAGATAATTTCCTATATTTTTACATGGGCTATAGCACTGAGTTATAGTAATCGTGACCAAATTTCATGTATTTCAGATATGCAATAATGATTCAAATAATTTTTGCAAAACGACTTATCACGACTGATATGGCAGATTACACCATGTTAGTAAAACACTCATTAAAAGAGTTCTACTAAGTGTTCTATAGAAATTCAAGTTGGATTATAAACTTAACACTTATATGAAACTTTCAAACTAAAAATCACTCATTTTGGATGAGTTAAGAGGAAGATATGGTAACATAAAGTTACATGCATACATCTGTCATTAGTTGACAGATTGCACACTTAACTTTAATAAATTGGTTAGTGCCTCAAAACTTCATATTTTTGAGTGAAAATAGATTCATTTGAACCCTAACTCATAAAAGAAAATTTTAGAAGAAGAATCATACACTAAGAACAAATAAGTAGAGAGATATTAGCATACAAAGTAGGAGTTACCTACTGGTGGTTTCACAGTTTGCACACCTATAGTGTTTTTAGGTGTTTGTAGATCCAAAGTCCATAATTTCATGTGATTCCAGTTGCATGCAAGAGATAACCCATATACTTAACTCTCAAAAGAAGAATCATCCTTTTTTATCGAGTTTTAAAAAAGATATGGTCATTGGAACATACATATACAAATCTGTCAGATTCGGACAGATTGCATGTTCACKTTGTTTTGAGTAGTTAAAACCTCAAATCACCACAATATTGAATGAAATCGGTGGCATTTGAAAGGTAACTGTAACCTAATATCCAGAAGAAAAAGAAACAATTTTGAATAATTATCTAGAGAGTTATGGCTGTTTGAAGTAGGGTTTACCTACTGAAAAACTCTCAGATGCACATATATAATGTTTTGAGTATTTGGGGAGTCAAAACTCAATGTTTTTGAGTGAGACCAATTGGATTACAACCCTAACTCAATAAATAAACTTTTAGAAGAAATCTCATAACATYTGAACATGTCATTTACAAGATATAGACGATTTGGCACATGCACATAATCTGTCAGCACCAAAATATATCATTTTTAAGAAACAAACTCACATAAAATCATGATTTTTACCTATCTTTTYGAGTTCTAATGTTTGGGTCATAAATTACCACCATCATATAAANATATAAACATTTTTACATGTTTTTGGTGTATAATCTCTCCTTAAAACTCATAATTTTCGGAAGTTAGAAGATAGTAGATAAAGAATGCATAAAAAGTGGGKTTTTCTYCCAAAATTTACAAGAAAAAGAAAGAGATATGAATATGTTACCTTGTTTGTCGATGAAAGGGATGTAGTATCTTCCAAACTCTTGCTAATATGATGAATATTAGAAGAAAAATCGGCTGAATATGTTAAGGATGAAGATGATAACTCAAGATGACTCTTGAGTTTTTAGGGAGAGAAAGGAGAGGTGTTTTGAATTTTGAATGGAGAGTAATGAGATTTAATGAAGAATCAATCTATTTATATGTGGACCAAGGAGGGAAAAAGGGGGGGGGGGTGGAGAGGCCGGCCATAAGGGCCCAAGCCCACTCTCAACAAATATATTTTTTTTAAAACAAAGCCCAAAATGCATAAAATGCCATTTTCTCAATTTTGATATTTTTCTTCAAATTAAAAGGCCATGATGACTAAATTAATTTAAATAGAAAGGTTTTATATTTAAAACACTAAAACTTAGTGTTTTATATAAATTGGGTATAAATTAGAGCATTTGGCACTGTATAGGACGTTTCAGATAATTTCGGGTCGGAACCGGACTTTCTAAGCAACTACCGGAATCTCTTAGAAATTTTTTGACCAAACTAACCTAACTAACTCCTAATCTTATAAAATTATCTTCAATAACACTATTACAAACTTAATAAGAGCTAACCTGGGAGTTCGAATTTGACGGTTGTCACAGTCTCCCTTGTTAGAGAAATTTCGTCCCGAAATTTAACTACTGCTACTGCCAATAGATTTCTCTGCAAACAAATGCGGATATTTGCCTTTCATGAAATCTTCTCGCTCCCAAGTGTACTCTGGACCACGCCTTGATTTCCAACGAACCTTTAGAATCGAAATTTTTCTTCGCTTTAACTGCTTAACTTCTCTGTCGAGGATCTCAATGGGTTCTTCTATGAAGTGCAATTGATCATCAACCTGAACATCTTCTAGGGGCATGATCAATGAGTCGTCGGCCAAGCATTTCCTAAGATTGGACACATGGAACATATTATGAATGGCGCTTAATTGCTGGGGTAGCTTTAGTTTGTACGCCACTGGACCAATTCTTTCGGTGATCTCGAATGGTCCAATATACCTAGGGCTTAACTTCCCTTTTTTTCCAAACCGCACTAACCTTTCCACCCTTTCCACGGTGATACTTTCAAAAACACTTTATCCCCTATCTGAAACTCAAGAGGCTTCCTCCGGTTGTCTGCATAACTTTTTTGACGATCCCTGGCAGCCTTAAGTCTTTCTCTGATTATTGATATCTTATCAGTAGTTTCCTGCACAATGTCTGGTCCCGTGAGTTGTCTATCCCCAATCTCTAACCAACTAAGTGGTGATCGACACTTGCGCCCGTATAAGGCTTCATATGGCGTGCATTGAATACTAGTATGATAGCTGTTATTGTAAGAGAATTCTACCAATGGTAAATGAATGTCCCAACTTCCTCCAAACTCGATTACGCATGCTCGAAGCATATCTTCTAAAGTCTGAATTGTGCGTTCACTCTGCCCGTCAGTTTGGGGATGATAGGCGGTGCTCCATTTCAGCTGTGTACCTAGAGCTTTCTGAAGTGATTGCCAAAATCACGATGTAAAGTGGCTATCTCTATCCGAGATAATAGAAATAGGTACTCCGTGTTTTGCAACAATTTCGTTAACGTAGATTTGGGCAAGCTTTACCAGTTTAAAATCTTCACGAATCGGAAGGAAATGTGCGGATTTTGTCAGTCGATCCACTATTACCCAAATCGTGTCATGACCTTTAGCAGTTCT